TAATAGCCTCTAAAAAACTCATTGAATCATTTTCAACTAGATAAGTGTAGAAATCATCTCCAAAGGAGGTTTCCTTCCTCTGTCATTTACTTCTCTTCAAATCCTCATATATTTTATCACTATTAATATCTATAGATTGTTTAGGTATCTCATTAACCTTTAGAGAAAAAATATGTTTAAAGAACTCAATATTTTTTGTCTCCACTATAGTATTATGCTTAATTACATCACTTTTGAGGATAAGAAACCTATAGACAGCACTATGTTCTGCATAGCCTAAGAACATACAATAAGAAGTTTTAGAACATATTTTCCTTTTCTTATGATTGGATAACATTACCTTAGCTAGGCACCCCCACACTCTTAAATATTTAATATTAGGTTTATAACCTCTCCATAACTCGTAGAGAGTTTTAGCAGTTTTAAAAAACACACTGTAAGTATTTCTTCTCTCAGAGGTTATTTGGTGCACTAGAGTTCTTTGATTAAGTATACTTTGGTGTATGTAAAGTAGTCATCTATAAATGTCATAGATAATATGAATCAATAATATAAGTAGAAAAACAAAATTTATTTACAACCTCAGAGATGTTAAGTACAAAACAAAACATTGATCACAATATCCCTTCCCTACAAACACATTATTTTTTTTGTCATAACAATCTTATTAGATTCAAATGACACTTTAACCTCAACTTTTCCTAACAGTGCTACAGATATTAAATTAGCTCTGATTAATGGCACATGTAACACATCTTTCAAGGTCAGAGTATTTTTAGATGTGAGTTTCAGAAGAACTTTTCATTTTCCTAAGACAGGAGTTGTGCTGGAATCACCAAGATAAATATGTTCTTCTCCATCCCCACACTAGTGTAGGAGGTAAAAGCACTTCTGTTTGCACAGATGTGTCTGGTAGCACCAGAGTCTATCACTCATTTGCTCATATTTGTCACAAGGTTTATTTGGAACTACAATAATTGTATCTTCTCCTTTAGCTAAATTTTCCTTAGGAGGATTGTTGTTTCTCATTCCACGTCTACACTGAGTGTATGATGACCTTACTTTCCACAAAAATTAATTTTCCTTATTCAACGTAAAGTGGGGTTAGATCCACTGTTTCATATCGTCTCAACCCTTTCTTATACGTATGTACAAAATAATATGGGGACAAAATAATGTTCTACTTATACGTATGTACAAAATAATATGTAGACAAAATAATATTCTACTTGTACGTATGTACAAAATAATATGCAAATCTAAGTCATGCACACGTAACTGTTAATTATTCACTACCAAGACAAATCTCTCATAACATATAATACTCATGCATAATTAATATACTCATGAAACATAATTCATTTTTCGTGTTTCATTGGTGTAATAAATCCGAAAAAGGAACATGTGTTTGACACGTGTCCTCTATAACATTTCTTTCATCATTTACCTTTCTTTCATCGTAATTATAACACGCAATAATCAATTTCATATATGATTCACCTTTTAACACAATCACGTAATTTGATTTTTCAATTAAAATCAATTACAGGATCATTCACATTTCAATAAGAATTACAGTGTCATTCACACAGGGGCTATGAAATTAATTTCAATTTGAAATTGATTGCAGCTTAAAACATAGATTAGCATTTATTCCTTTATTCAATTTTGGGAAAAACATAATTTAAAAATTATCATAAGAGAAAAATCATAAATCTAACAAGTATCGCTCTGATACCACATGCATTTTAATTTGTAGTTTTATACGTTACTAATTATGTAAAATATTTACGTTTAGATTCTTTATTCTCACGTAATAGCATACATATAATCATATAATAACATACATGAATTGATTCTCACATAATAACATACACAAATCATAATCAGAAGACTAACATTGATCTATGAGCACTTCATAATTCTCTTTCTTTCCCTATCCAATATTCTAAAACTGTTGAAGGAAGTTGTTGATATTCGTATTATCAGCCATAAGTCCTTAAGATTGTTGTAAAAGCTGACAGAGACATGAATAAACTTTATTCCTAAGGCGTGTATAATCACTGCCTTTAAGGACTTATCCGCGCTATATTGCGCAAGTCCCCTAGGATACAAGAGGAACTTCTCGGAATATCCGAGGATCTCAGAAACTAGCAAGAAACTCTCAAAAGAGTAAATTAACCCAGGAACACAGAAAGAAAATCAGAGAAGAAAAGATGAGAGAGGTGTGTTCTGAAGAGTGTGAAGTGGTCTCTATTTATAAGAGAAAGTCTGTAACAGTTATGGAAGACTTAGTAGTGGGTCTGTAACGTTCTCTGAAACAGTCTTCTGCAACGTGTGTCAGAACACGTTCTCTGAAACTGTCTTCTATAATGTTCTCTAAAATAGTCTTTTGTAACGTGTGAGAACACGTTCTCTGAAACAGTTTTCTGCAACGTGTGAGAACACGTTCTCTGTTTTGTAATACCCCTTCATTTACAACAATAATTAATCATTTAATACTTCAATTTGATAGTTAGGACGAAGGACATACAAGGTTAAAGTTGGATTAGGTAAAATAGTTGATCGAAAATGTTTTGTCACCTCAACATCAAATAATTCTTAACATGAAAACTTAGGAAAAATTCTTATATCATCTTCTCAAGGAATATTAGTAACTTGTTTTAGATCTACTTTTCAATTATAAAAGAGTTAAGGTTGAGGGATTTGTGAGTCCTATATTTAACATCTAAATTTAAATGTAATCAATATATATATATATATATATATATATATATATATATATATATATATTTTAGTTATTCATAATCCAATTAATTAAATTTATTTGATTAACTATATTTAATTAATTCTTCTACCTCTTAAATTTTTTTTAAGACTACTAATAAATATAGTAATTTTAACTTCTAAAGATTCATAGTTAAAATCGACTTTCAAGATAATTATTTTCATATCGTTACGGTACTTATCTACATTCTTACTCGTTAAAGCTTCAAAATGGATTCATTCTTCTACCTCTTATATTGCTCAATGTCCATTTGTAGTTTGTTTAGCCAATAAATTCTAGGAAAGCAAATTATGCCTATTTCCAGTCACTAAATCAAACGCACCAAAATTTGTTCTACTGGTGCTTCCTATTCTAAATACACATTTGGATCACTATTGTCATGAAATATTGGAAGTTTAATATTGACATTTGTCTTCTTTAAACGGCTAACATCTTCCCTTCTCCTATAATTATGTCATCTTCATTCTTGTTCTTCTTCATTATCTTCACTCTCATATCTTGAAGGGTTCTTGCATATTTGTTTCTTAATTCAAGACTAACCTTTTTTTTCAATAAGTTTTCATTGGAACTTATTAATTTTTCTCTTTCCTCTTATGTTCTTATTTGTTTCACCATCATCGTTCTTCTCTTTTTATCAACTCTCAATTAAAATTTTAGTAGGAGAATTTGGAGTTGATGGGATCTTTGACATTTTTCCTAAAATTGAATTAGGAAAAGAAAATGCTAATACAAAGAAACAAATAAGTTAATAAAAATAATTTCAAGTCCCTCTTAATGTTTGGTTGCTTATAGTTTGTCCAAGATACTAAAACTTCACTCAAACTTTTGTTGGAAGTGATTAATTGTTTTAAAATTTCAATTTCTTAATAATAAGTTTCAAGTGCAATAGGAGCTATTTAACGGACACTCAAAAAATACAAAACTTTTAAGGCAAAACCTAAAGAATTTTTAAGACAAGCTAGAAAAATATTAATCAAGAAACATTAAACCAAACAAGAAGAGAATGTGACAAAACTTAGAATAAAAAAAAGTAATTTAAACAATGTTTTTAAAATTACAAATAAAATATTAGTCAAAGATAAGAAAATCAATATTCAAATTCAATTGCCCCTTCTTTTAATTTCTTTTGAAGTGTTTTTATTTTAAATCTACTAACATATGATTCAAAACAAAATATGAACATTTGATATTTGGAATCAATCAATCAATTCAAACTGTTAGAATTTTAATTTTGAATTCAATTCAAATTTTATTCAAGCAAGAAAGATTTCATGACTTACGAAAATATGACTCTAAACTAAAATGTGAGGTAATCATATTTAATAAACAACATTAATTTTAATAATCAATATATTATTTCATAAAAAATAATACATAACAGTATTCATTGAAAATACTCATCTCAATATATTTATCCATATATCTCTTTATATATATAGGTTCAAAGAATAAAAAATAGAGACTTATTTTTCAGTTTCATTCTTACTTTTTTTTATAACTCATCTTTAAATTAATGAAAATGAATATAAACTATAAAAAATAAATTTTTAACTCTTATGAGTAAATGAATTTGTTTTTCACTCAAATGAATAAATTATATATTTACTTCATTTCATCTTTTATTTTATAATAATTTAATGGTCTATCATATTAACTATTAAATTACCAAAAAATAAGCCTTAATATATATTCTCTTTTTTTTATTATTTGAAGCTCTTTCACAGAAGACTTGGGGTGACCCTGACCCCTCCTACTCAATGACTATTTTTCTCCAGAAAATCCCACGGCATCCGTTGATGAGTAAAAGAATTGGTAGAGTATGTCGAACAACTGATATGCGCACTCCTCAAAATCTCATTCTAATAGTTGAGAACAAAAAAATGTTACGAAACAACATCAAGCACGTGGGGGTGGGGTTGTAGCCTCCACGTGAAATTTTATTAGCAATATTAAAAGACGACTAACATAGTACGAGGATGGGGTTGTATATGAATTATAGGAAAAATGAACACAGCCAGTGGATACTAAACCCTGTCTTAGTTGATGTGTAAAACTATGCATCGATGTTTCCAACTTTACATTATGGATTTACATTGGTTGTGAGGGAGACATTGAAGGAGACCTTCTTCATCTATTATTTCCCATTTAGACAACCACAGAAAAAGGAATATAAAGAATAAAATTATACTATGATTGAATGAAGTATGGGCAACTAAAGGGAACTGAGGTAATCCTTTATTATTGACAAAATGGGATTACCAAAAGGATATTCTTCTAATGTCTGAAACATGATTCCATCCATCCGGGCTTGAACCCCATCAGAAAATGTCAAGCCCTGTAGCAGTTCCTTCACTGCTCTGTCAGCTCCAGCGAGGGAACTCCCTACACCTAACAAAATCTCGGGTATAGTTGGGCTGGGTCTGGAGATCTCTACTAGTGTAACCTGAGATAGCTCAAGCATAATCAACTACGTTTTGCATCTATACTTCTCAAGTATACAGCAAAAATAAAGGTTTCAAACCAACCTGACTGTCTTGAGGTATATTGGCCTTCATTTTTGCTATGGCAATAGCTCGAGAAAGCCCGCCAATAGCATCAACTAAACCATTCGAAGCTGCATCGTTACCAGTCCAAACCCTTCCCTGTGCAACCTCCTCCATCTTTTCTACCTAGTGACAGTATACTAGCCATAAGCCTGTGATAAAGAATCTACAAGAAGGATGAAAAAAGCATTGGAATTAGCTAGTTAAATAAAACATACAGTCATTGATCTGGACAAAGCTGCCTTGTCCCGGAATTGTTTATAAGCATGCCTAGCAGATTTGGCAAATAACTCTGCTTCATCTGGTCTGTACCAAAACAATAAAATCAGTGTTCACATTTGTCTGTCTCAGATGTCAAACATGTACAACAGAAAAATAACAATCCTGTAACGATCATCAATAAAAAGTTGTAATTCTAGAGTAAAAATTTATTCATAAACGGTGGCAGAAAACCCTGGGCCTCCTAAGGTTATGTCTCGTACGGTTGGTTTGGTGGCTATGAAAGAGAGGGAGAGAGAAAGGATGGAAATGAAAGGTGAGTTGTTTGGTAGGAAAGAAGCATGAAAAAAAAAGTAAAAATACAGTGGTGGGGCACACATAACCCTATGTTTCCACGTAAAACAGCGAAGAAAGCTGGAAACTAACATTCGCTGCAACATCATTGGTTATTTTATGCAATATAATGAATATGTTGCCTAAAATGCAGAAAATGTGTTGTGGTTGCCTCTATATCGTTTATGGACACCAATAATCAACTATGGGGGTTGGTTAGTTTTTTTTTCTATTTCAGGCTTATTTTTAATAACAATGAATAATAAATAGCATAATAATAATAAATAAAAACATTAATAATAAACTAAACAATTATAAAAAATTCCTTTTCAATCTTCTTTTATTTCTCTTCAACCAAACAACTTATTTTGTTAACTGATTACTTTCCTTTCTTTTACTTTTCCATTCTATTTATTTCATCACACTACCAAACGTAACATTAGTGCCTGAATAAAATACAACAAAAGTCTGAATAAAAAGAAAATTGCAGTAGTGCCTAGATGGTAAAAGATGGTTTGGTCCTTGTTCAGTGGATTTTCTTGCAATAATTGCTCTCAAATATCAGGGATGACTTGATCCTTCGTTTCAGATATAATCTACGTTCACCAGAGTCAGCTTCTTGGTTGAGTTAACATTCCAAAATAGTGTCCAATTTATGCTTCTCACTAAAAAGATAAGGCACTGCCCCACCAAAAAAAAAAGGATCATTTTTTAGTGAATGCATTAAAGGCAATGCAGGTTGGCTGAACTAGTTCGACGTTTATAGATGAGATGTTGCAGTCCTAAGTACAGGATTCCCGCTTGGATATTAATTCACCAAAAAAAGGTAAAGATGAAATCAAATAGCAAACCACAGTACCAACTAAGCACAATTGCAATGCCATACAGTCACTGCCTACAAGCGGTGCCCATCATTATAGCTGTGCAAAACTTATAATTTCAAGATATTAAAATTTTTACTTCAGTATATTTTTGATCCATGATAAATTATCGGATTTTGCTTTTGATTCCTAATATATATATATATATATATATATATATATATATATATATATATATATTATATATATATATATATATATATATATATATATATATATATATATTTTAACTTTTTCGTCTCTAATAAATTTTTATGTTGTTTCTGGTCCCACAAGCAGTATGGATAGTGTTCCAAACTGTAAAATAACTTGATCTAGACAGCACTTAAGCGACAGTTTTTTTTTTTTTTTTTAATTAAGGACAAAAAAATAAAAATTATGAGGGACCAAAAACAAAAGTCAATAATTGATCAAGGGCCAAAAGCATATTTATCCCTAAAATTTTTAATATAACATGAACGAACTTTTCATTTCATAAGTTGAGATAGATACTACTTAAAGTAAATGTAATATTTTCGTTTTCAGATATCAAATATTACACTGTCTAATATTCTCTCCTTATCCACTAGAATCTTTACACAAGGAAATGAAGAAATAATATTACCTGAAAGGACGTTGTTCAGCAGCAAGGAGCTCAGCATATCTTCCCCTTGATATAATTTCTTTATTAAAGCCAATCTTCTCATACAGTTTCCCCAGGTTAAATTTTCCTACAAAAATGTATGTTATATGTGAATGGTACTTTTGGTTAAATACTTCTGTGAAATAATTTGTTAATAACTTTTTAGTTTTAGCTTCAGTTAAATAATTATATCCTCCTGCTTTTCTTTCATCTACTGAAACATAAAACACTCTGGTTACCTGTGACCACTCCAATTGAACCAGTTAACGTAAGGCTTTCTGCAACAATAGCATCAGCTCCCATTGCCATGTAGTACCCTCCGCTTGCTGCCACATCAGACATTGAAGCAATGACTGGTTTTTTAGCAGCCAAAAGCCGGATTTCTCTCCACATCCTGCAGATCATGACACCAGATAATGATGATGATTCTTGGCACCTGAATATGATAGCCTAAACATGGAAATAAACAAAAATACTAAGCATAACAACATTATCCATTACAACAATTGAAGATGTATTTCAAATTGATGTAGTCCATTCCACAAAGGATATGACTAACTCCTCTCAAATCTAAAATTATTGTTTTTTAATATAAAATTATTTAATCAGGGTTTTAAAATATCTTAGCCTATATTGAACTGCACCGAAGTGTGAGTGCCAGAAAACCAATTCTAGTGAACCGTTTAAGCTATTGTTCTGCAAGCATGTAGTTATACGGCTTGAGATGCTTTCACTGCCTATTTGTATGGGATATAAATGATAGAGATTGCTGCTGGTGCTAACTTTTTCCTTGGCATTAAAAATCTTGCCAATGCCAGGGATCTTAGTTATTTAGTAATTTTATTAATATTGTTATGTCGTTTAATTTTTCTTATAAAAGGCCATAACTTGTATGTATATCAATTTTTCTTATAAAGATAAGTATGTAAGTTAAGAGAGCAAAATTAGGACCGTTATTTATTGTGATTCAACAGATATACGCTACTATTATCATCTCAAAAGAAAAAACTGCAATTAAGAATAAATCAACATTGTACATGTGCTCTAACTGTATGAAGGCATGGTACAGATCATATCTAGATCCATCCAATCAATAATGTCAAACCAATGCAAAGAAAAACAACAATTTTTCTTAAAGTAGCAGTTTTGACATACGATTGAAATAGAGGGGAAATTTTACCAGAACTTACAAATCAGAAGCAAGAGCATCACCTCCAGGACTGTCAATTCTAATGATGGCCGCCTTAAATTTTTTTGAATCTGAGGGGAAAATAACACGTGAGTGAATTAAAAACAAAGAATAAAAACAAAGGTTGCCTTTTGTAAAACAGCATCACTGATAGAGATTAACTATGATTAGTCGTTCCTAGACACTCAAGACCATGACTATGATTATGTTTACATTCCTAAAAGTGAATAGATAAGTTGTGTTGTTGCATATGCAAGTTACTAACTTAACAGAACTAACTCCTATAAGTTGGCACGTCGTATGTTTACTTATTTTCTCCGGCTAAAGGATCACCTTCTGTGTCCGCGGATATTCATTCTCTATTTTGATAGGAGAAATAGGTAAGAAATGAGATGAATTTTATGGGTGTTAGTTTGGGAGATAGGAAAAGTTGAAAATACAATCAATTTTTAATGTAAATATAATTTTTTTCTGGCACAATCTATTGTCTCTCATAATGTGGCTGACAATCAATTATGAGAGAAGATTATAAACACATAAATTATGTTGAGTGGGTAATGCGTTACTTTTGAAAATCTTGCATACCGGAGTGAGGAAATAGAAATGTGAGACCCACACCCTTTTTCTCTCCTCCAATTCCACACAATCAAAGAGCAAGAATCCACATCTCCCCTCTATTTCTCCTCTTCCTTCCTCTCCTCTCTCTCCATTTCGACCCTACAAATAGAGAACCTAATAAAGATCTTTCTGGGTTCTTGCGACCTGGGTTCCATATCTATTTGATCTTACATTATCAACTTATAAACAGGGTTTTAAATAGCGGGCTATGGCAGTGGAGCAGCCCCTGCCCGCTATAGGGGTTGCTGTAGTGGAAGAGTTTGGTGTAGCGGTCATCACAGACCAAATAGCAGGCTGAGTAGTGGGTGCTATAGCATGCGTTGATTCCAAAAAACACCTTAGAACAAAGCCATTCGGGCTTTCCTAGAGGGCTATTTTTGGGATTTTGATTCCCCAAATTGAAATCTACAGATGTAATAATTGTGAAAATTATAAAAAATACATGAATTCAGAAGATGATGACTGATAATGCCAATCTAGGAAACTTGAATTGAACTTTTGTTGGATTTACTTGTATGTTATATCCAACACACCTATGACTTCTTATTGTTAATTATGAATATTAAAAATTGAGTATGTATCATTTTTGAAAAATTATATTTATATTATATAAACTACAATTTTAAAATAGCAGTTATCCCACTATATGCTATCTCCTATGGCATTTTTGGAGCTGGCTGCTACGCACAGCTATCCGGGATTTAAACATGGCAGAAACTGCAGTATTGGGAAGAAAACTACTTCTAAACCTTTTTCGGAAGCATAAGTTTTAAAAGAAATCTCTTCGCTTCTTTCTCATTTATCAGAGGGACATCAGTGAATAATATTACTCAACTGAAACAAATATATCTATGAAGCATGAACAACAGCTTCTATAATCAATATAAATAGACAAATAATATCCCATTAAATAAGTGCCAATTTTAATCACCCTCCTGCATTGAAATTTAAAAGGGGAACTTGTAACTTATGAGATCAAGTTTACCTCTGATAGTACGAATCTTTTCAATAAACTTCTCTGCAATGATGCCTGAGCTAGACACACTTAATTGACTCTCTACACGACTAATACTCCCTGATGCTCGAATAATTGCTATAAGTTCTTTACCACCTGACATTCCAACAGTCCATTTCCTAACTCGAGAATATTTCCTGTATTACATTGATGCAAGAAAACATCACTATACATCTGTTAGAAGCAAAAATAATAAAAGAATGCAATTGTATGCCACGTGAAAGCTGTAATTTACACTCTCGCGTGTTTGAGAAAAGATTAATTAAGGGAAAATAATCACTTTTTAAATTTACTGCTTTTAAAAGCTTTCTCAAGAAAATAATAAAATGACTATCCTCCAAAATAAGTTATTCCCAAAATGCATAATCCATAGAAATATCTATCACAAACACAAGTTTGGGAAAGATTAAGGGTCAGATTGTGACAAAATTTTCGAAAAATAAAAGTGATTCTGATGTAAAATAATCTATTGATATGTTTAAGAGATTTAAAAAAAAAAGTATAAACATATTTATCTTTGTTTACTATAATAAAAATAACTATTTTTAAAATAACTGATTCTAAACTATGCAAAATAGCTTCTAATTTTAATCAGGTTTTAAGATTCTTTTCTACCTATGATTATTTGGAAATTTTGAAATAAATGCATGAATTTTATTTTTTTAAATGTTTAATTTTTAAAAAGAAAAAAGTGATTTTTTAATAAAAACAATTGAAACAAACAGGGTGTAGTTATGGAACATAATTACTTATTATTTTTTTATATTTTAGAACTCTCTTTCTTTAGAAGCTACAAATAATAAAATGAAAAATTCCCAAAATAAGTTATTCAGAACAAGCATAAGCCACAGCAAGAACCCATACCAAATAAGTGGGAGCTGAATAAAAACAAAGATATTTTAAATTAAAATCTTTATTATATTATACATTCTCTAAAGTTTCCTCCAACTTCTATAAAAACTAATTGTAGATTATCGTTTCCAAAGTTGATAGTGAAGGTGTTTTTCAATAAGCAACACAATTAAGCACATGTCAGCTTAATGAAAATTTATGCACATTTAGTGTGGAGCTTACTAAAATAAGCTGAAACAGAGCTTATTTTAATACACTTCTTTGTATAGCTAAAAATAAAGGCTAAAAAGAGATTTGAGAAAGGTCAAAAGTTACTTTTACAATCTCAAAAAACCTCCTTATAATCTCTTCAAATTTGCCCCTTAAAATAAATCAATATACTTTTACATTGTATTATACCAAACTCAATATTCTAAGGCTTTACACATGGAGTGGATGTGCTATACTCAACAGGAAAACTGTTACATTGGAAATATTATGTTATACTAACATGATTCAAATCTTGCAAGAAAATTCCAAAATAGAAGTAGCCAGTGAACTAAGCATAACATCAAAGAATTGCGAAAACATAATTTGAAAGATGGTACAATGAATAGCACCAGCACCATGCCAAACAATTTTCCTGGACAAGAAAGTCAAGTACTTAAACACCTACTTCTCATCAACTAGTAAATTAATGTCCAGTAACATCCCTTTTGAAGTAAAGAGATGGAGATAATCCTAAGGTTCTAGAATAATCCCTGAATCAGGGTGAAGAAAGAAAGAGACATGGCCATTGATATGAATGATTCTTTTCACAGGAAATTTCATTTGAACTTACATGGCCATAGAAAGTATTAAAGCCCTTGAACTTACTTCTAATGTTGAAAGTAACATGATGATTGGGAATGAAACTTGGTATGAGGCAGAAGGTGTATTCTAATGAGACTATGGAATGAGAATTTCTTAGTTACATTTTTGTAAAGCTAACTTTTTGGCAGTTCAAATAAACAGCATAAACCGTTGTACATTCTCAAAGCATACAGAAATTGCTACCTGTAGTCCACCACAGGCAAATCTTTATCTGGTTTCACTCCAAGTCTCTCCTTCAACATGGCAATAACCTGCAAAAAATTTAATCTTTCTTATCCTTTTAACCATCTTTGCTTGAAATGTATTCACATCCTTCAAAACATTTGTTAACCATTGTTAATTATCAATATATTTGAATACAACCAACAGTGAAGACAAAAATCAACAAACTTTAAATGGAGAAACAATCAAACCAACAAACTTTTAGTGAGCAGTACAAAAACTGTTTGTATTTACAATTTTTTTCCATTAAAAAAAATGCACCACTAATCATAAGATGAGATTCCATCTTGCTCAATATAATTATATTAGATTAATAAAGATGACAAACTACATGTACAAATAATCATTCTTATAACATAATGGTTGGTCAAAACAGTGATCTTAGGTGAATTCTACTAAACAATGTTACAAGATCCAATCCATAAGTCTGCCACTATGAGCAAATATCAAATTGGTTGTTCATATAAGAACACTGGGGTACCTCGTCATCATAGATTGTATTTGATATGAGCCCCTCTTCTTTCAGCTTGTCTACTTGATAAACACCTTCATTGATGAGTTTCTCAATATCTTCTCTTCTTTTTCCTGTATTAAACTTGCAGAAGCCGACATGTTAATATGTTGATTCATAAATCAACTAAAACATCAAATTCAAATGTACCTTTGGCAGAAGAGACTTTATCCAGCCAATTTGTATAGATATTATCAAGCAATGCCGTCAGCATCTCACAATTTTCTTCAGACATGGTTCTTCGAGCTAGTTGATCACCTGCACTTTTGTATTTTCCAATCCTTTCCACTTGTGGTTCAATTCCTATGTTATCTAAAATACCTGAAAACAATTAATCAAATGATGTCAAACACACAAGTTTTAGGCTTATTGATAGCCATCATAGGATTGAAAATTTATATGATTTAGTCAATAATTTCTTGACATGCACCTTCAGCATGTGCATAATGGCACATAGAACACCAGAACAACACACTGAGAATGAGAATAATAATTACCATAGCATGACTTTCATAATTCTATTAATCTAATACAATGGAAATCAATATCAGACTTTAATTCAGATTTTTGTAGTTAGATTAGATGCACAAAAACTTTGTGCAAACTTCATAGAAAAGGAAAACTATAGAGTCCCTCGCGAGGACCTATGAGCATATTCCATGAAAATTTGCCTTTTTAAGGCATCTCCAATAGGAGTTGTTTATTGAAATGCTTGAATAAAACACTAATTGCTTGAAACAATTTTCTATTAGAGGAATCCTAATTGACATGAAAGTTGTTTAAGAGATTTTGTAAATTGTTTCACCAAGAAACTTACAAAAATGAATAAAAAAGAAATAAATAAGTGAAGCAAATGAGTTGTTTAAGTTTCTTAAAAAAAATATATATATTGTTTAAGTTTCTTAAAAAAAATATATATATTGTTTAAGTTTCTTAAAAAAAAATTCTATTGAAACAAAATTAATTGATTTGTTTAACTATGATGTAGCACCATAAATCTATATTTTACATTTTTCAAGGGGAGAAGGAACTCATGAATTCTTCCTACCAAAGATGCCCTGAGGGAACTGCTAATAGGAGACCTTTCATTTGAAATTTCGACCAAGTTTCACCCCCTTTCTATGCCCCTGTCTCTCCCCACAAAACTAAGTATCCGATTGGCCCTCCAAACATATATCATTATTGTTCTACTTTTATCAGCCACATATTAAATAGCCTCAGTTTCATCCTTCAAAGGGATGTTCAGACGTCACTGTAATGACCAATACGGTGGGAAAGATATTAAAAAAGAATGATAAACAAGTGGTGTTAATGAGCATTGAAGGACAAATATGATGTACGGATAAATGCAGATCCAATATTGTTGCATGATCTTTGAAGGACCAAATTGGAGTCTTATGGAGTTACACACATATACATATGTACACACACCCCACGTGGATGAGATGCTGTAAGAAAAGAAAGCAAAAGACAAGGACACTCATTGTAAGTTAAATTTGTAAAATTGATAGGACAATAAAATAAGAAAAATCATCTTACCTCTGAGGAACGAGGCTTGAACAGTCAATCCAAACAAAGAAAAGTAAGCACTGGGAGGGGAGTATATCTCGTCACATGCACATGCCAGGTAATACTCTTTTTCTTGAGATAAAGGCACATAAGCCAAAACAAATTTTCCTACAAGCATAATTAACTATCAAAGAATGTCATTCATAAGCAGGAAAAAATATTAATATAGACCAACATATCAATGGGGAAAAGAGGAATGTTAATATATCATTAATCCTCGTATATATACTTTAAATATAAGCCTCAGTTACATCATCACCTCAGAAAATGAAGAAAAAAGTTACATCAATATATCATTGATTATTACCACATCATTACTTCATTAATCCTACAAGAGAGGATTCATTGAATTCAGCTAGAGAAGCATGCTACTTAAGGCCATCACATCAAAGATGGTAATCTAATTAACAATTCTCTTTACTTGAATATTCTGTGGAAAGGTTTATGAGAGTTAATTTGCAGAGAACTAAAACTTCATGGTACATGAATTGGCAGTGAAGGTGTAAAATATCCAAGAAACAGCTATACCTTGGCATTTTGAAAGGGTGTAGTCATGGAAGTTTATTAGAAAGTAAATTTGTGCCGAACTCAACCCTATAAAATTGGTTAGTAAGATCAGGTTTGCACCCCACTAATATACTACAATTTTAGTTGACGTGAAATTTCCAGTACACCCACTCTTATGGACGATATGGGTGATTTCCAACATACCCCTTCAAATCAAGGATATGGGTGGTCCAACTTTGATCCTACAAGAGAAGATTCATTGAATTCAACTAGAAAAGCCTGCTACTTAAGGCCATCACATCAAAGATGGTAATCTAATTAATAATTTTCTTAACTTGAATATTCTGCAGAAGGGTTTACAGAACTAATTGGCACAGCAGTGAAACTTCAGGGTAAATGCGTTGGCAGTGAAGGTATAAAATGTCCACGAAACAACTATAGCTTGGCATTTTGAAGGGGTGTAGCCATAGAAGTCATATGAAATTACTTTTACATGTAACTAGGCATGTTTTCACTGAATTTCTTGTAAATCTTCACTGGTTCATTTGACTCTAATATAAGGTTCTATAAACAGTATAAAAGATGAAATTTTGTTTGGATATTTCATGTTTCCACGTTCCTCTTTATTACATGTGAAAGCTGCAACACAAGTCCAGAGCTTTACCTGACTTCTTGAAATCCAATATATGCCTTCGAATTTCTTCTACTTTACCCCACCCGCAATTTAAACTATCAATATGAAGATAGATCCCAGAAATACGAGGATCATATGCTGCTTTCAAAAAGTTCTCGCATATTTGAGGCAAAGAAAGTCCTGGAGAGAACCTACTCTTCACTTGATCAGATATCTGAACATGTGAAACAATACAACATTTTGAGATTCTTTTTTTTTTCATTTTATAACTAAGCATTTCCTTATTTTATTTTTTATTTATTGATATAGAAAAATAGAAATAAAATTAAAAAAAAAAATTCTCCTTCTACTCTATTTACTATTGTTTTCCAAATACTCAAGTTTTATCTCAATAAATTATGTAATAAAGCTTCATGTCAAATAAACATATGTTAGAAGGGTGTAATTGTTTATTCAGGCTGGAGAACAGAGTATGTAGGAATTGCATCTAAGTTTTATCATTTATCAATGGATACTCCAACCCTAGATGACACATATAAGTACAATAGATAATACATCGTGATAGAATGAGAAAGAACTAATATGTGCTGATGATGCGTGTTATATATAGAAGGCTCTGTAAAGATAAGTTATTCTTATTGTCTTTCTGCACTCCCTAATGTGATATATCTCATAAGCTTCTATTTCTCTTGGTTTATACAAATAACATTTATCATCTCTATATATCATCACTCTAAAGTTTACTACCACTCAAAATGATGTCACTGAATTTAATTCCCAACTTTGCATGTCTCAATATATTTTAGTTTTCAATAACAAATGAATTAGACTACTAATACTAGCAGCACACTCATTAACCTATTATTTTGAACAGTCTCTTTAGTAGTCAAAATTTATTGAAAACCAAATTTTGTAGATTACATACTTCATTTAACGAAGCTTCATTCTTAATATTTTAGTTTTCCATAAATAATAATCAATACTAAATATTGTCTCAAAGAATTTGCGAAAGTTGGTGCTAGCACTCAAGATTTATGTTTAGTGGTTATTTGAGTAAATATCGAATTTGATTCTTAAATGTGTGGAATGCTCTTATTTCAGTCCATGAAAGAACAAAATATTTAGTTTAGTGCCCCAATATCTGCAATTGTATCTTATTATTAGTTTTTGTACGACTATTTTATCATTCAAATATAATTTTAAGGACAAAATTGACAGAAGATTAGAAACTAATTTGTCATTAAGCTATAGTATGAAGGACCAATATGAATATTTTTTACGCGTTCAATCACTAGCTCATATTTTTGCTTCTTTCAAATTGACAGCACCTTAAAGAAGACCAAATTGGTCGTTCAACCTGTGGCTATTTTCTTCCTACGGGAAGGAGAGTGAGGACAGAGACGGTAACCTGGCCACGAAGCTTCATCGTGAGAACGCTGCCCTTGCGGACGCGCTCCCATGGGAACGCAACCAGCATCTTAAGCTTGACGAGGAAGCTTCTCCATCCAGTAACCGGTTCAAAACGGAACTCCCCACTTGGATAATCCTCGCCCGCAATCCCAACACCCCGATCGTCAACGCCCTCTTCCTTTCCCGTTTCTTTCAATTCTTCTTCGCTTTTGGCGTCGGAATTGGAATCGAAAGCGCGAATGGAAGGGTCTCTTCGGCGAGCGTAGGAGGTGAAGGGAGCGAGAGAGTGGCGGGGACGAGAAAGGAGAGTAAGGGAGAATCGGCATTGAAATTGAAGGGCAGAAGCGGAAGAAAAAGTGTTGAAACAGTGCGGGGAGGTGGTGAGGGGAAGAGAGGGTAGAAGAAGCAGCTTCGACATTTGTGCAGTGAGGGTGTGAAGTGAGGATGATGAATGAAAGTGGGAAAGAAATGATGGAACTCAAGGAACCACCTTCCTCCACGTCGTCGTTTACTATCGGCCTGCCATTTCTTCCATTCGCTATCTCATCCGGAATGCTTTCTCGTAAATAAATATTATCTATTATTTACCTCTGTTTTTCAAATAATATAATAAAATATTCAACGTAAATAATTTATATATACTCACTTCTATAAAATTACAATTAATTACAACAAAAAAGTAAAAAAAAAAACAATCTAATCTATAAATCTAATGAGACCGAGTGTTTCCATCGTATTGAAACATATAAGTATACATCTTGATTTTCGGGCCATTACGATTATTACCATTTTTAAATTATTACCTATTTAAATAATAGATAATAATGAAAATTATCACTAACAAAAAAATAAGAATATTTAATAAAATAAAATTGTTTGATAAAATAAAAAATAAATATAAAATATTTATTTTTCATTATTTTGTGATGATTCAATAATTAAATATTCATTATGATGATATAAATTATTTTCAAGTTCATTTATATCAACTACATCATATATTTCTTTTTTTATATATATACAAAAGTCAAGATCTATGCATTCCTAGATGATAGGATCATTCGATAATTTCTTATGATACTTAAAAATAAAATCAAGTCTTCCAATGAAACAAAAAATATATTCATTTATATTTAAAAATATAATTATATATATATCTTTAATAATGAGATATAAATATAATTACATCATTCAACTGCTGGTGTTTTAATAGTTGATTTTCAATAAAAATAGTTAATTAGTTATAAAATCAAATAATCATGAAATATAAAATATATTAAATTTAAAGCTATATAAAATAAAATAAAAATTCTTAAGAGGAATGATTAATTTTGATACATTAAAAGTATTTTATTGACGAAAATGATTCTAATATATATTCATCTCAATAATTATTTAATTAAGATTTTTATTAAAAATTTATCTAAGATATAATTGATCACATGATCATATTTTTTTATATAAAAAAATAAATTAATAAGTTATTGCATAAAGATTGAATTTCACGTGCTTATTCCAACGAGTTTTAATAATATACATATAACATTGATAAAAATCTTTTATATGCTTAAACGTTCCCTTGGTAATATTTTTTGCTTTTTTTCATACTACGTAATTTGTTGCTTTAACAATCCTAATGTGAACACATTTTGAATTCTAATAACGTCACGATACATTAATAAATTTCACAAATAAAATATTTGCAACATTATTACCAACAATAAATAAAAAGTTGGTTAAAATTACGTGAAGAAGTAAATAAATAATAAAAAAATTAACACTTTACCAGTTGGATAATAAACTTAAAAGTTAATAAAAATTTAGATTAATCCATCTATTAGTCATAAATATGTATCCACTCTTAGCTTAATTTTGTTTATGACTTTATTCAAGAAATTATCACACTCTCCCAATCAATTACATTTATATTAATGATAAGATAAATCTTTAAACTCAAAGTTAATATTTAAAATATAATAAAATTTATTACATTAAAGAAAATGTAGCAGCATGGCAAATATATCATATTTGGTTTGTGTATTATTTCCTTACTTGCAAACACACTTTTTAAACTTATTGGTTAGAGTCATAAATCATCCTTAAAACAAAAGTAACTACTAGCATTAATAATGATTTTTTTTTTCTCTTTATTTTGAATATGTACAATCTTATCCACATTTCTATTATTTTCAAATTCTTACACCTCATCTTCAATAATATTATCAATGTCAATTCTTTTAATAATTTTAAATTTTTTTGCAATAACCTATATTTATTATATACCAAAATGATATTTCACGCCTCACCCTCTATAACATTTGAGGTAATGTAAATAAGTGTATATATTAGTTTTTACAAATTTTTTTTAAATGTAAAACAAATGTAGAATTTGTTTTTCTAATCTCAAATGAAATTCGTATAAATGGCTTATAGGAAAACAATTTGCTTATTTAAATTTCTTCGTATATATACCACACCAATCATTTGAAAAAGAAATACATTCAAAGTTTATATATGATAAAAGAATATATGTTTATATAAACTTCCTATAATTCAATTTTTAACAACTCTTGCATTAATGATATTGCCACCATTATTTTGGAAAGAAACAAAACATAATTAACATGATCTAATCAACTTACCTATATAAAGGCAAAACTTCTACATACTAATTTTAATTAATCTTACCATTTTTTTATTTCAAAATAACTTTTTAGCATATTACACCTATTTGCACCATTAATGTCCAAAGAGAGGGATGGTCATGGTTCAATATAATATTCCTTTAAATTTTATATATATATATATATATATATATATATATATATATATATATATATATAATTAAGATTTCATTCCTCAATGGAAAAGATATTATGATAATATTACGAAGTTCAATCATTATTATTTTATTTAAAAAAATAATAATTTGATGAATTAAAAATTATATATTTATAAATTATTCTTAATCTCGGTTTTTATAATAATTTTAAAATAATAATATAAATAATTGATATATTTATTAGTTTAAAAGAGTATACTGTCTTATAAATTGGATGAGAGAGTATATTTTTGTTTTTATTATTATTATTTGATAAATCTAGTGTGGTTGCTTTTAAAATATTACATTATTACGTGGTAAAATATAACCTAAAATTCCTATCAGACAAAGTCAATAAATTTGGTTACTGGAACAGAGTTAACCGTCTTTTATCACCTGAATGGCTAACGAATTTCTAACTACCATTCAAATTCCAGTGAAACGCAAGTCCGGTAATGGCTTCTGTGTCGCCACCAACTCTCTCATGGCATCACAAACTCCCCATTCATCACAGAAGCACTTGGACATGGAACCACGACAAAAACAACAACCATTTTTCTTCATTTACGGTTCCAAAATCTTCCATTTCTCCCCCAACAACACACAAAATTGACCATCTTTCTCCTACCAAAACACACCAACCCTTTCTCCAACGCCTACACAATCTCTGCGACTCCGGGAACCTCAACGAAGGCCTCAACTTGCTCCACTCGCAGTCCCAAAACGGCGCGGTTTCCTCTTCAGATATTACAAAAGAAGCCATTGGGCTCTTACTACGAGCCTGTGCGCACCACAAGGACATCGAGGTTGGGCGAAAACTTCACGCTATGGTCTCGGCATCGCATCGGTTCCGCAACGACGTCGTTCTGAACACCCGCATTATCTCCATGTTCTCCGCGTGTGGGTCCCCCTCAGACTCTCGCTCCGCCTTCGACGCAGCGAAGGAAAAGGACCTGTTCCTCTACAACGCGCTTCTTAGCGGCTACGCCCGAAACTCGCTTTTCCGCGACGCGATTTCGCTGTTCCTTGACTTGCTCTCCGCGACGGAATTCTTTCCAGACAACTTCACGTTCCCCTGCGTCGTCAAGGCGTGCGCCGGCGTCGCGGACGCGGGACTCGGCGAAGCCGTTCACGCGCTAGCTTTGAAGGTTGGTCTTTTCTCCGACGTGTTTGTGGGGAACGCGCTTATAGCTATGTACGGGAAATGCGGGCTCGTGGAGAGTGCCATCAAGGTGTTTGAAACTATGCCAAATAGAAACTTGGTGACATGGAACTCTATGATGTCTGCGTGTTCTGAGAATGGGAGTTTTGAGGAGTGTTGTAGTGTTTTTAAGGGATTGTTGAGCGAGGAAGAAGGTTTGGTACCTGATGTTGCTACGATAGTGACGGTAATTCCTGCGTGCGCTGCTCTAGGTGAAGTGGGAATGGGAATGATTCTTCATGGTTTGGCTTTTAAACTTGGCATTGTTGAGGAAGTGACGGTGAATAATTCCCTAGTGGACATGTATTCGAAATGCGGTTACATGGGGGAGGCCCGAGTTTTGTTTGATATGAATGGTAGGAGAAATGTTGTTTCTTGGAATACCATGATTGGGGGATACTCTAAGGAAGGCGATTCTCCTGCAGTGTTTGGGCTGCTGCGAGAGATGCAAACAGAAGAGAATGTGAAGGTGAATGAGGTGACGGTGTTAAATGTTCTGCCAGCTTGTTCGGAAGAACTTCGGCTGCTGACCTTGAAAGAGCTTCATGGTTATGCTCTTAGGCGTGGATTTCAGATTGATGAATTGGTAGCCAATGCTTTTGTTGCTGCCTATGCGAAGTGCAGTTCACTGGACTGCGCTGAGCGTGTCTTCTGTGGTATGGAAAGGAAAACAGTGAGTTCTTGGAATGCACTGATTGGTGCCCATGCGCAAAATGGCTCTCCTAGAAAGGCTTTAGATTTGTATCTTGTGATGAGGGATTCTGGGTTGAATCCTGATCGGTTTACTATCGGTAGCCTTCTTTTAGCTTGTGCGCACTTGAAATTCCTACGTTGTGGCAAAGAGATTCATGGTTTTATGTTTCGTAATGGTTTAGAACTGGACGAATTTATTGGGATATCGTTGTTGTCACTTTATATTCAATGTCGTAATATGTTACGAGCGAAGTTAATTTTTGATAAGATGGAAAACAAAAGTTTAGTATGCTGGAATGCAATGATTTCTGGCTGTTCGCAGAATGAACTTCCTTGTGAGGCCCTTGATACATTTCAACAAATGCTTTCAAATGGAATTATGCCTCAAGAGATTGCTGTAATGGGTGTTCTGGGAGCTTGTTCACAGGTGTCGTCATTGCGGCTGGGGAAAGAAGTTCACTCCTTTGCACTGAAAGCTCGTTTATGTGGCGACAACTTTGTTACTTGTGCATTGATAGACATGTATGCTAAATGTGGATGCATGGAACAATCTCAGAACATTTTTGACAGGGTAATTAAGAAGGATGAAGCAGTATGGAATGTTATAATTGCAGGATATGGGATTCATGGGCATGGACTGAAGGCTATTGAGCTTTTTGAATTAATGCAAAACAATGGCTGCAGACCTGATTCTTTTACTTTT